ATTCTCGGATGAGATCAAGAAGGTTTTTGATCGGGCGGCTTCGGGCAGAGAGGCGGCTCGTTTTCTGACGGAGTTACGGCAGGGAAATCGGAGCGTCGCGGATTACTCCATTGAATTCCGCACCCTGGTGGCGGAGTGCCGTTGGAATCTTGAAGTGCAGTGGGACATGTTTTTACATGGACTTTCTGATTATATCAAGGATGAGATCTATGCACTGGAGTTACCTACAACGCTGGATGGATTAATCGATCTGGCTATTCGGGTGGACACCAGATTGCAGCGGAGAGATCAGCGAGCGCGCCGAGCTCCGGCGGCCAATCTACTGAACCACTTTTCTGTCATCTCCTCTGACGCGGACGTTTCCTTCTCCGAACCGGAACCTATGCAGATGGGCAGATCCCGTCTTTCCCTGGAGGAGAAGCAAAGGCGGCGAGATAAGGGTCTCTGCCTGTATTGCGGAGCTGCTGGTCACATCGCAGCACAGTGTCCCGTAAAAGCCAGAACCCGTCAGTAGGTAAGGGGTTACTGACGGGTGGGGTCACATTGGCTAAATCCTCTCTTGCTGCTACCCTCCTTCCTGTCAAGTTGCAGTAGTCCTCAGCCGCTCATGACTGTCAGGCTTTAATTGACTCTGGTGCTGAGGGTAATTTTTTAGACTCTGATCTTGCTTTCAGACTTAAACTCCCTGTGGTTGCTCTCTCCCAGCCTATTGCTGTCCATGCTCTCAATGGTCTATCTCTTCCTTCCATCACTCACACAACAGGTCCAGTAAGACTCCTCACTTCTGGTAATCACACTGAGATCATTCATTTTCTTTTAACTGACACGCCTGTTACTCCAGTAGTCCTTGGGCATCCCTGGCTTGTGCTTCATAACCCTTATATAAATTGGAGTAAGAACTCTATTGTCTCTTGGAGTGAGAGTTGTCATGCTGCTTGTTTGTTGTCTGCCTGTTCTTCTGTGTCCTGTTCTGTGTTTCAGGATGAGGATATGGACCTGTCAAACGTGCCCAGTGAGTACCTCGACCTGAAGAGAGTGTTCAGTAAGTCTCGAGCTGCTGCTCTACCTCCGCATCGACCCTACGACTGTGCAATAGATTTATTACCA